AAAAAAAAAAAAATAGTATTTTAAAATTAATTTCAAATTGCTTGCTGCTGCTGTACAAGAATGCAAATGACTTTTGTATACTAACCAGGTATCCTGCAATCTATCTTGCTGCAATCACTTATGTGTTCACAAATGTGTTCTTGAATGCATAACATAGAATACATAGTCCCATGAAGAAAACTGATTGTATTGAAACAGTTACCGAAACATAAAAATAGTTTCACACAGGGCCTCCCTGGTGGTGCAGCGGTTGAGCGCTGGGTTGCGAAGCTGCCCGCAGCCTCTGCAGCACCGGTTCGATCCCCGGCTGCTCCCCGGCCACCGGAGGAGGGTCCCACATGGCGCGCAGACCTCTCCTGCCGCCCGCTGCTCCTCTCAGCAGTGTACTTCGGTCCTTCTGCCTGCTCTGCTCCCCGCTCTGGCTCTGGTGAATTCTCTCACCCTCCCGCGCTTCTGACTGTACCCAGTGCTTGTATAAATAAATAAATAAATAAATAAAAATAAATCTTAAAAAAAAATAGTTTCACACAAAGTAATATATACGTCTCTTTACTAATGCTTTAAGTAATAAGATATAGCAATTGGGCTTTTTTTAAGATTTATTTATTTATGTATATAAGAACTAGGGTGCAAGCCTAGTGGGGGTGAGAGGAATCACCAGAGACAAAGTGGGGAGCAGAACAGGCGGATCTACTGAAATACACTGCTGAGGGGAGCAGTGAGCAAGGCTGGAGAGGTCTGCTGCACCATGTGGGTTGCTCCCTGGCCAAGGGGTTCAAACTTGTGCCGCAGTGGCTGGCAATAGCTTGATAGCACTGTCTTTAACCCCTGCGCCACCAGGGAGGCCCAGAAATCAGCTTAATAATTACTCTTCTTTGGAGGTAACAATGCGAATCAATGGTATTTCCAGACGCATACCACATCTGTAAATGCTATGAAAATCTGTGCCTTCTTTTAGTGACAGGTTCTGTGGACTGTCATGGCTGTTGCTGACATTCACAATGGAATGAAATGCTAAATTTCAGTTAGAGGTGGATGAGGATAAAGATGTATCTTTTCCCTATGCAAGTCCACCTGCCCCTGTATCTTTTTTTTTTTTTAAGATTTATTTATTTATTTATACAAGAACCAGGGTACAGGTAAGATTCGCGGGAGGGTGAGAGGATTCACCAGAGCCAGAGTGGGGAACAGAACAGGCAGACTGACGAAATACACTGCTGAGGAGAGCAGCGGGCGAGAAAGGAGAAGTCTGCCACGCCATGTGGAACCCTCGCCGGCAGGCCAGGAATCGAACACGCCGCAGAGGCTGCGGCGCTTCACAGTGTGGTGCTCAACCACCTGCGCCACCAGGGAGGCCCCTGCCCCTGAATCTTATTGTGACACTAGCCGATGAACCCTCGATTAAACTCGACCTGCAACAGTTACATGAATTGTATTGACACAGGAAAATATGTAGAAAGAGCAATACACGTGGTGGAGTGCATTCACATTTAGAAGTACTCACATCAACAGCAATTCAATGGAGAAAAATTGCCTTTTCAACAAACGGTGCAGGGGTAATTGGACATCCATCAACCTTCTTTTAAGTCTCACACCCAAAATAAAAAGTAATTCAAAATGAATCACAGGTTCAAATGATGAGTAGAAAACCATAAACCTTTCAGAAAAAAATATGAGGGGCCTCCCTGGTGGCACAGGGATTAAGTCTTAGCACTATCAAGCTATAGCCTGCCACTGTGGCATGAGTTTGATCCCTGGCTAGGGAGCTACCCACATGGCGCAGCAGACCTCTCCTGTCTCGCCCGCTGCTCCCCTCAGCAGTGTATTTCAGTGGATCTGCTTGTTCTGTTCCCCACTCTGTCTCTGGTGAATCCTCTCACCCCGCCCCCACCTCTGGCCTATACCCCAGCTCTTGTATGCATAAATGAATAAAATACATGAGAGAGGGCCTCCCCGGTGGCGCAGCGGTTGAGCGCTGGGTTGCGAAGCTGCCCGCGGCCTCTGCAGTGCCAGTTCGATCCCCGGCTGCTCCCCGGCCACCGGAGGAGGGTCCCACATGGCGCGCAGACCTCTCCTGCCGCCCGCTGCTCCCCTCAGCAGTGTACTTCGGTCCTTCTGCCTGCTCTGCTCCCCGCTCTGGCTCTGGTGAATTCTCTCACCCTCCCGTGCTTCTGACTGTACCCAGTGCATGTATAAACAAAACAAACAAACAAACAAACAAACAAATAAATAAAAGCATGCCTCTATAAAAAAAAAAAAATACATGTGAGAACATTTTCAGGACCTAGGGGTAGGGAGAGTTCTTAGGCTTGACAGCAGTGTTCAGTCCATAAAAGGAAAGGTTGATCAGCTGGACTTAATAAAAAAACATTTGCTCTGTGAAGGCCCACACGTTCAAATGGAAAGATGAACTAAAGAATGTGCGAGATTATTTGCAAACCACCTATCTGATAAAGTATTAGTATCTTGAAAAAAAGAGCTCTCAAAACTCAACAGTAAAATATTAAACAATCCAATTGGAAAACAGATAAAAGACGCAAAGAGACATTTCAGAAGAGAGACGCATAGATGGGAAGTAAGCACATGAAAATATGTTCAACACCGTAAACCATGATAGGCAGGTTGGATTACAACCACGATGAGCTATCACTCCACGATGATCAGAAGGGCTAAAATTTGAAAAATTAATTTTTTAATTAAATGGGGGTAAAATGCAGAGAAATTTTGGTTATGGCTGACATGAATGGTATGAATGTCGAGAGGTACAGACACTCTGGGAAATTGTTTTCAGTTTCTTAAAAAATTGAACGCACAACTATGCTATTCCCTAGTAATTGCACTCCTAGGTATTTATTCCACAGAAATGAAGACTTCCATTCGCACAAAGATTTATTTTTATTTATTTATGCATTCAAGAGCTGGAGTATAGGCCAGAGGTGTGGGGGCGGTGAGAGGATTCACCAGAGACAGAGTGGGGAGCAGAACAGGCAGATCCACTGAAATACACTGCTGAGGAGAACAGTGGGCGAGACAGGAGAGGTCTGCTGTGCCATGTGGGTAGCTCCCTGGCCAGGGATGGAACTCCTGCTGCAGTAGCTGCGGACAGCTTCACAGTGCTGAGACTTAACTCACTGCGCCACCAGGGAGGCACCCAAAAAAGAATAAATTCTTGATACACCCAATCATCTGGGTAAATCACCAAAGAATTATGCTAAGTGAAAAAAGCCTAGTCCAAAGGTTATGTACCCTGTGATCCCATTTATATAATACCTGAGATGATGAAAATATAGAAAGGGAAAGAGAGAGCAGATTAGTGGCTGGCAAGGGTTAAGGAGGGAGTGGGCTTGGCCATCGACAACGTCATGGGGAACTTTGTAGTTTGTAGTGATGGGGTTTTCTGTATCTTGACTGTATCCTGTTAATATCCGAACAAAATGATGTCAAATGAAAGTTTAGTCGACACAACTATGCACCTTGGGAGCTATAGATCTATCACAACATATTTTATAAGGCAGACAAAAACACATCCCTAATTGATTTATAATGGGGTATCTCTGGCGAGAGCATGGGAAGCAAAAGAATAATCATTGGGATAAGTAATTTTATCACTAGTATTTTAATTTCTTACGAGGAGAAGGAATTAGACCCAAGTGATTAAAAATTAAAACAACGAACTAATTAGATAAGGGGAAATACTAACACTTTTTTTTTTTTAATTGAAATCAGTGGTAAATTTATTTTTTTTAATATTTTATTTTATATAATTCTTACATCATTTTTCATTTTTGCACAATGTATATATTATCCTTTTGGTTATATTCCCCATACAGTTGCACCCCCCCTTATTTTGACCCTAGTCCTTCCTCTCCCCTTCCCTCCCCCTCCCCCCCGTGGTGTGTCTCTGGTTTATAGTTGCTTGTTGATTTTGATTTTCACTTTCTTAATTATTCTTTTTCCTGGTCCCTTATTTAAGTTTTCTAGATCCCTGCTATGAGTGAGACCATCCGGTATTTTTCTTTTTCTTTCTGGCTTATTTCGCTGAGCATGATCCCTTCCAGCGCCATCCATGTTGCTGCAAATTGCATGTGTTTATCTTTTTTGAATGCTGAGTAATATTCCATGGTGTATATGTACCACATCTTCTTGATCCAGTCATCTATTTTTGGGCATTTGGGTTGTTTCCAAAGCTTAGCTATTGTAAACAGTGCTGCTATAAACATAGGAGTGCAGGTGCTCTTTGGAATTGATGTTTCTGTGTCCTGTGGGTAAATACCTAGGAGTGGAATTGCTGGATCCTATGGAAGCTCTATGTTTAGTAGGTCCAGAAATCTCCACACAGCTCTCCACAGTGGTTGGACCAGTTTGCACTCCCACCAGCAGTGCAGGAGAGTTCCTTTTTCTCCACACCCTCACCAACATTTGTTGTTGCTGAAATACTAACAGTCTTATAACTGGTATGGTAAAATACATATATATATTATATATATAGATACACACACACACACACATATATAGATTTAATAATAGACGAAGGTATTCAGAGAGCTTGACAAAGACCCAGATGATGAAACACAGAAGGAAGAAGGGGGGAGGGGAGAAAATCAAGCCGAGAAGGAAAGCTAATGACAGTCAGATAAATATGAACAGACTGACATGTGATAACAAGAAAGTGCTGAAAGAGAGGGTCGGAACAGGCTTTATGAACCCACAGGGCACACACTTGTGTGGCACCTCTGCCAGTTTTATTGCAAGAAAAGGAGAAAAAAAAAAAAAGTGTGTTTCTCATTCATTCCTGGAGAGTAAAAGGAGACAAACAGAAAGACAAACATGTGTCAACAGATGCAAGGCTTGGCTCGGAGCGAGGCCTGGAGCGGAGCCCTGGCTGGCCGGTGCCAGGTAAAGTCCTCTGGCCGGGCCAGTGGTGACGTTTGGAAAGGAAGACCAAGGCAGGGTAGTCCCGCCACTCCCCATTTCTTACCAGGCACAAAATAAAAGCCACCATGGAGGGTGTAGGCCCCACTGTGGAGGTGGACCCCACTCCGGACACCACAGGGACAGTGGAAGCAGGTGCTGCCGCAGCACGGGACATCAGGGAACAGCACAGGTGAGGAGAGAGGACAGAGGGGTGAGGGGGAGCGGCTGGGGCCCAGGCTGGGTCCCCTGCGGGTGCTCAGCACTCTGAGCCACAGTCTCTGTGGAGTATAAACTGAGGCTGGGGTTGGAATGGGGGGTCTTCCCCTTGGCCCCCTTGAGATCCGTGCCTCCCGCAGGTGCAAAAATGGGGAGCAGTGGTGGAGCAGTGCTGACCTTGGGTGTGTGCGTGTTGGTGATGGTGGGCCTGGAGGCAGACCCCAACTTGCAGGCGCCCAGGCACTGCCTCCTGTCCCACTACCGCTGGCTGGACCCCTCGGCAGTGGCAGCCGTCAAGGCGCTGAAGGACCACTATGTAAGTGGTGACCACGCCCTCGGCACCCACCCACCCCTTCCGCCGCCCACGCCCTGCCCCTGGGCCCTCCTGGTGCAGACACTGGGCCGGGTCCTGAGCGACCCTTGCTTCCAGGCATCCGGCAGGCCCCGCTCAGTCTCAGGGCTCATAACTGATTGGAGGAGAATTTCCCTCCGGGCAGCTACCTCCCAAGGCCGCCCACACCCGGCCTTTGTGCCATCTAAGGAAGCCAGTCTCGGGTTCCACTGCCTGCGGGCGTGGGGCATAGCAAGGAGGGCTAGGGGTGCATTGCATCCCCCTTTCGGGCGGCGCCCCGGGAGCCCCCTGGGGCAGTGCACCACAAGCACAACTGCCCCGGCTGGTTCTGCACGTCGTGCCCGCGCTCCAGCGCCCGGCCCAGCGCCCCAGCCTCACAGCCCTGTCCCGCAGGAGGCGGAGATGCTGAGCAACGCGCCCCGCAACTGCTCCTTGCGCTCCAGGAGGACTCCTCCCCCGCCCTCGGTGAGCCTGCGACCTGGCGGGAGGAGGGGGGTGGGGGGTGAAGGGTGGGGGACGCGGGAAGCGGGGTGCCCTCTAACTCCCGCCGGTCCCCGCAGTCGTGCGCGCGGCTCCGCCTGGTGGCCCGGGGCATCGCCGACGCCCAGGCAGTGCTGAGCAGCTTGCGGAGCTCGAGCTGGGAGCCGTTCCCGGGCACCGGCCCCACGCTGCAGCTGCTGGCCGCGGTCCGGAGGGACGTGTCTGCCTGCGTGAGTGCCCGCTGCACCCCGCAGGGCCCCCAAATCCGCCGGCTGGGTCGGTGCCCTGGGGGTCCTGCCTGCCGGGGACTCGGCCTTCTGTGACCCCGGGGAAAGCAGATCCCATGGCAGCTGGCGTCCCTCGTGCCCACCACCTGGACTGTGGTCTGCGGCTGGGGGGCCCGGCGCATGGGGGAGACCAGGTTCGTTCTTCCTCACTGACCTCGAGTTTCCCCTCCAGCTCGAGCTGGGCCGTCCCGGCTCCTCCAGGAAGTTCCTGAGGACATCGAGGAGGAAAACGAGAAGGGGCAGAGCCGTGAGTGGCGGAGCGGGCAAGCCCTTCACAGCAGGGGGCGCTGAGTGGGAGGGACAGGTCCGCGGAGCTCAGCCTGACTCACCCTGCGCCCCATCCTTTTCGGTTTCCAGGAGTCACGGGGATGTCAGGAAGCCACAGTCATCTTCAGCCTCCTGCGCCTGCTCACGTGGGACCTGAAGCTGGTGGCCCATTCCGGGCCCTGCCTCTGACACCCCTCCCGGCCAACTCCCTCGGCAAACCCCGGCACTGAAGCCCTGCAGGCAGGAGGGAGAGGCCGGCCCTCAGCTGCCTCGTGCCCAGGCAGGTGTTTCCACCTCCTCTGAGGAGCCCACAGGACTGCAGCCCTGCGGCACTTCCACTGGCCCCTTGGGCGTGGAGGACTCCCTGCGGAAGGAGGTCTCTGTGGGGAGCACTGGCAGCAAGAGGCTCTCTGAAGCCCTCCCCTGACAGGTGCCCTGGGTTTGACCCTCCCCTGCCTCTTGGCTATTCCGTGAATCTGTGTGATTTGGGAGCTTCCCTCTGGGGCAGCCTCCTTCCATGGAAAGAGTCAAATGTGACTTGACTTCTTTGGATTCTGTTACTTGACTTCTTTGTATTATTGTTGTTATCATCATCGTCATCATCACCATTATTATTATTATTGTATTTGTGAAATTCCTGTGTATAATTGCATTTGTGTTCTGGTGTTAATTTATTTTATTATTAAATATTATTGCATTTTCTTGGGTTGTTTCCTGTGTGATGTTTTGGGGTAGCTCTCATCCAAAACTGCTGACAGGGACATCAGGGGGGCTGATGTCACTTCTGAACCTGCTGCCACTTCATGGAAGCCTCCATGCGCACTGACTTCGGAGCTTGGGGTCCTCTGCAGTGATAGCACCTGGCTCCCCCGGCCCAGGGATGGCAGGTGGGGTGTTCCTCCAGCCAGTCGAGGCCGGAGCGCTCCTCAACCTGGTGTCCAGGCAATGACCACACCATAGTCGCACCAGCACCGTCTCATTTCCACGCAGATCTGTGAGCCCCTCACCTGCCCGCCTCTCTCCACCATGACAGGCCTAGGAGGGGCGGAGCCACATGGGACCCCAAAGGTTTGGGCTCCAGAGCCCCTGCTCTTTTTTTTTTTTAATTTTTTTTTTATGAATACAAGAACTGGGGTATAGGCCAGAGGTGGGAAGGGGTGAGAGGACTCACCAGAGACAGAGTGGGGAACAGAACAGGTAGATCCACTGATATACTGCTGAGGGGAGCAGCAGCCGAGAGAGGAGAGGTCTGTTGCGCCATGTGGGTAGCTCCCTGGCCAGGCATTGAATTCATGCTGCAGAGGCTGCGGACAGCCCAACATGAGGCTTCGGAATTCCGAGGTGATTGTCAATGGCCCCGGGGCACCGCTGATGCCATGTGACCTGCCCCCAGTTCAGGCCCCGCGCGGGCACAGAGCGATCTGGGCTGCCGGGTGCCCGGGCATCTCAGGCCCCTGGCGCGGCAACGCTTCTGTGTGTGCGAGGCCGAGGGTGCTCGCAGCGCAGGACCTTTGTCTTCCCTCTGCGGAGAGTGATGGAGGAAGAAGGGCTTGGGTTGGGGTCGAGGGACGGCAAGGCCCCTGACATTCATCCCCTCTCTGGATGCAGACACACACTCAGGGGGGTCCCGGGCCCCTCCCACCCGCCTCCCGGACCAGCCCCTCAAGACACCGAGACCCCCCGGGGGCCCGGGCAGCCTCTGGCCTCTCGGGTGCGCCCCACGCAGGTGTGAGTCCTCGCAGTTTCGCTTTCCCTTCCGCGGCTCGGGCCTCTCCCGGCCGGGGCGCCCCGAGCAGGTGAGCACGTGTCTGTTTTCCCTTTTCCTACCTCAGCGCGGACTGTCCCCGGGCCCGAGCTAAAAGCCGCGGCATGGAGCCCGGGCGGCCATCCTCGGGCCGCGGAGTCCAGCGCCCAGACGCGGGCAGAGCCGCCTCCTCGCCAGAGCCGGGGCCGGAGCCCGAGGCAGGAGGCGCCCGCCGAGCCCGACACAGACGCCCCCGGACCCCGCCGGCGGCCTCGAGGAGCCCCAGCACCCAACCGCTGCGCCCCAGAGCCCGGCCGCCAGCATGAAGCTCGGTGAGCCCCCCGTGGTGTCCCCGACACCCCTCCGCCCCCCAGGCGCCCCCTCAGCCCTGACGCTGACCCCCTCGTGTCTCTCCTCCCGCCGCACAGACGCGGCCGTGGCCAGCTTGCTGCTGCTGCTGCTGCTGCCGCCGCCGGGCCCCGAGCTGCCCGGGACGGCGGCGGGGCCCGTCCCCAAGGCCTCGGGGGCCGAGCCGGGAGCCAGGGGCTGCCACATGGCCCAGTTCAGGTCGCTGTCCCCAGGAGAGCTGCAGGCCTTCAGGAGGGCCAAGGATGCCCTGGTGAGCGTGCCCGGCCCCTGCTGCGGGCTCGGCACCCCTCCCTGGGGGGTCCCCAGTGCTGGGCAGGGGGTGCGCCCTGCCCCCCCCACCCTGCCTCCTGGGCTGCCTCGGGTGCCGGCTGCAGGCAGGGCCCTGCCCCCTGGGGGGAGCCCCCTCCCTCCTGCTGTGGGCGGCCCCTCCCAGCCCCAGGGGGCCCCCCAAACCCTCCTGCTGGGCTGACCTGGCCCTGGCTCTGCAGGAAGAGAGGCTGCTGCTGAGGGACTGCAGCTGCGGCTCCCGCCCCTTCCCCAGGACCAGGGACCTGAGGCAGCTGCAGGTGAGCTGGGAGAGCCGGGCGCCCCGCCCTCGCCTGGCCCCTACCCTGGCTCCTTGGTGCCCCTGACCGGGCCTTCCCTCCGGGCCCTCTGCCTGCCCGCCCTGCACCCCCGCCCCTCACCCGCCCATGGCCGAGCCCTCTCAGCTGTCCCCCGACTTCCCCCCACTGCCCCGCGCCCTGTCCTGCAACCTGGGCCCTGCCCTCACCCCCCACCCGCTTGTGTCCCCGGTCAGGTGTGGGAGCGCCCCGTGGCCCTGGAGGCCGAGGTGGCCCTGACCCTGGAGGTCCTGGGCGGCCTGGCCGGCTCCTCCCCGGGGGCCGCCCTGGACCAGCCCCTGGGCACGCTGCGCCACGTCCACGCGGAGCTGCGGGCCTGCGTGAGTGCCGGGGCCCGGGCCTGGCTCTGCCTCTGGGGCGGGGGACCCCGTCCCGGCGCGGCCCCACCTCACGCCCCCTCCTGTGCCCGCAGCTCTCGGCTCAGCCCGCGGCGGGCGCCCGGCCCCGAGGCCGCCTCCACCACTGGCTGCAGCGGCTCCGGGAGGCCCGGAGGAAGGTGACGCGCCCGAGGGTGCTGCTGCCCGGGGCGGGGCCGGGGAGCCCAGGCGGGGCCCCCCTCACCAGCCCTGTCTCCTCAGGAGTCCGCGGGCTGCCTGGAGGCCTCCGTGACCTTCAACCTCTTCCGCCTGCTCAGCCGGGACCTGCCGTGCGTGGCCAGCGGGGACCTGTGCGTCTAGCCGAGACCCCGCGCGCCCCGGGTGCCCCTGGACGTCACTGACGCCCCGTTATCTTCTTATTTATTGCCTCTGATCACTATTTATGTATTTATGATCGCGCTCACCCTCAAAACAGAAAATGTTTATTTTTCTACTTTTTGTAAAAATGTGCCAATAAAGAGTGTGGACAAGACGCTCAGGTGGTTGGGGTCCTGTATGTTGTCTGCGTTCCTTTTCTTTCTCTCTCTTTTCTTTAAAGATTTATGTATTGGGGCCTCCCCGGTGGCGCAGCAGTTGAGCGCTGGGTTGCAAAGCTGCCCGGCGGCCTCTGCGGCGCCGGTTCAATCCCCAGCTGCTCCCCGGCCACCGGAGGAGGGTCCCACATGGCGCGCAGACCTCTCCTGCCGCCCGCTGCTCCCCTCAGCAGTGTGCTTCAGTCCTTCTGCCTGCTCTGCTCCCCACTCTGGCTCTGGTGAATTCTCTCACCCTCCCACACTTCTGACTGTACCCAGTGCATGTATAAACAAACAAACAAACAAACAAATAAATAAATAAAACATGCCTCTATAAAAAAAAAAATAAAGATTTATGTATGCATACAAGAACTGGGGTACAGGCCAGAGGTACAGAGGGTGAGAGGATTCACCAGAGAGAGTGGGGAGCAGAACAGACAGATCTACTGAAACACACTGCTGAGGGGAGCAGCGGGTGAGTCAGGAGAGGTCTGCCGCGCCATGTGGGTAGCTCCCTGGCTGGGGATCGAACTCGTGCTGCAGTGGCTGGCAGTAGCTTGATAGCGCTGTCCTTAACCCCTGTGCCACCGGAGAGGTCCAGTCTACTTCTTGAAACATTTTCTTTACTCACCCACCCACAGTGCAAACTGCCACCTCTTCCACGCCGTGACTGCTGTAAATATTGCTGCAATGAACGTGCGGCAGGAGATTCTTTCCCAGGGAGTGTTTTCATTCCTCAGGTACTCAGAAGCGCAATTGCTGGATCAGATGGTAGTTTTGTTTGAAATGATCAGGGAGTCTCTATGCTATTTTCCACAGTGGCTGCACCCTTTCCGTTTCTGGAAAGAAACCCCTAAATTGTATAGGCTCAAGCCCCATTAATCCCGGATCCCCCCTCGTAAGTGGGAACAACTGGAATCCATCATTCCGTGCTAAGCAGAGTTTGAATAAAGTCTGGGCAGTTGTTACAAAGAGAGGCTTAAAGTAACTGGATTAAGAGACTCTTCCGCTGCCTGAGGTCCTGGCCTGTCCGCCCCACACCAGCTTGGCAGGGGGCCCTTAAACTTTCATCCAGGACCCCTCTTTTTGCGCCACATGCCCAAGGGCAGGCATTTTTTTTAAAAAAGATTTATTTATTTATGCATACAAGAACTGGGGTACAGGCCAGAGGTGTGGGGGGTGAGAGGATTCACCAGAGACAGAGTGGGGAGCAGAACAGGCAGAATGACTGAAATACACTGCTGAGGGAAGCAGCAGGTGAGACAGGAGAGGTCTGCTGCGCCATGTGGGTAGCTCCCTGGCTGGGGATTGAACTAGTGCTACAGTGGCTGTGGACAGCTTCATACTGCTGAGACTTAACCCCTTGTGCCACCTGGGAGACCTCAAGAGCGGGCATTCTTAACAATTTTCATGGCAGCCTTGCAAAGCTTCTCTGAATAAAAGAAAATACCTAGAACAAAGGAATCCAATTTTTATTGTAATAGTTATCAAAATATTTTTAAAACTCTGATAGAGTAATTTATGGGCTTCTTCATTAATGCATTAAATAAAAAGTCACTCGTGGCAGCTTTAATAGCTATGAAAACTTAAGAGTAGAGAGGAGCATAAATGATATTTCAAGATGTCTGTGAGAAAATAACATGATATGAAAATACTTGTGCTGTATTTCAGGACAAAGTCACAAGGGTTGCTAATACTCCTGCGCTCTGCTGCCTGCGTTTGTAACACATGTGTGGTAGACGGCATAATGTCCCCCAAAGGTGTTCCTGTCCCCTTCCAGGAGACTTTGTGGGTATGATTAAGTGAAGGATCTTGAGATAGGGAGATTTTTTTAAAAAAAGATTTATTTATTTATGCATCCAAGAACTGGGGTACAGGCCAGAGGTGTGTGGGGGAGTGAGAGGATTCACCAGAGACAGAGTGGGGAGCAGAACAGGCAGATTCACCGAAGTACACTGCTGAGGGGAGCAGCGGGCGAGCCAGGAGAGGTCTGCTGCGCCATGTGGGTCACCTCCCTGGCTGGGGATCGAACTTGTGCTGCAGAGGATAGCTTCACAGTGCTGTGCTTAGCCCCTTAGCCATCAGGGAGGCCCTGACACTGGAAGATTATCCTGAGTCTTCCAAACACATTCTGTGTAATGACGTCGGTCTTAAAAGGATGGTGGTCTGTGGGGGAGGTGGCAGCACCAGGAGCAGAAGCTGGAACAGCAGCTGAGGAATGCAGGTGGCCTCCAGAAGACAACACAATGTATTCTCTGAGTGTGAGTGCTCCAGAAGGAACCAGACCTGCAGACACCTCGATTTTAGATTCCTGATCTCCAGAAGGTCAGAGTACAAATTTGTGGAACATTTTTATTTTGTAATTTAAAATTTGTAATTGTGAAAAATCAACATAAAGTGTACCACCTTAGCCACTTTTGCTGTACAGTTCCGGTATATTCACGTTGCTGTTTAAGTCACCTCCTCCAACATTTTCTCATCTTGCAAAACTGAAACTCAGTGCCCATTGCACAATTCCCCATCTCCTCTCTCCCCCCAGCCTCCAGCAACCACCGTTCACTTTCTGTGTCCAAGAATCTGCCTTCTCTAGCTCATCTGGTATTTGTCTATTTTGCAAGTGAATTATTGCCCTCCACATACTGTCCTAAGGCTCATTTATACTGCAGCATGGGTCAGAATTTCCTTTCTTTTTAAGGCTGCATAATATTCCACGGCATGGGCATACCACAGCTTAAGCATCCATCACAGGAAATGGAAAATGTGGGTTGTTTTAAGCTACTAAATGTGTGCTACTTTGTTCCAGGAGTCATAAGAAAATAATCTATGGGGGGAAATGTCCAATTTCAGGTAAAGTTTAGTAAAAGTGAAGATGATTTTTTTTTTTTTTTTTTGGTCCTGACAAGTTCATTTCCTGCCCTGAAATCTTATGCTGGCACCCTCATCTGCACAGGGGAGCCTACAGCTCACACACCTAGGATCCTGTTTTTGGGGAAGGCAAGAGGCCAGTGTTATCCACCCAGTATTGAAGGCCTGGATCTCAGTGAGGCTGTTGTCATCTGACCACAGGTGCACAGAGGATGCAGGAAATGTAGCCCAAAGCAGTCTCCACCTTGGGTTCTGAGGAAGGAGGAGCAAAAATGATTTTGGTGGCTAAGGCAAGCCAGCCGCCAGATTCCCTCAGGGGACTCCTGAGGTGGGCGGGTGAGACCACAGAGAACTCAGCAAGTTTCCTGGAGAAGCTTAAGACCCCTGAGGCAGGTGGTGGGGGGTTCAGTCGTGGGTGTCAGGCAATGCAGTCTGGCCTCGGCATGATTTTGCTGTGTAAACTTGGCAAGTGTCTTAACCTCTCTGAGCAATGGCTTCTTGGTTTTCAGGGTGAGAAAGAGCATGGTGACACACTGGCTCCCGTGTGGGGAGCCTCCAGGACAGGGAGGTGCTGGGGGGGCATCGTCCCTGTGCTCACTTTGCAGTGGCTGTTCCCACTCCTTGGAATGCTGTTCCCGGAGGTCCTCAGGGTCCCCTCTCTCCCTCCTTCAGATCTTCGATCAGATGTCAGCTTCTCTTCCGGCCTCACAGCGTACAACCCCTCCTGCCCTCCCTCCAACTCTGTCTTCTCCAAAAAACTTAATTGCTGACGTCATATCTAATGACACACATTTAATGCTCCAGCGGGTGGACTGGCAGTGCCACGAGGGGCAGGGAGGTGGGTGGGCTCTTTTCCACAGCAACGCGGCAACTGCTCAGCAAATATTAATACATTCTCGAGCCAATGATTGACTAACTGAATAAATAAATACGGGAATTCATTGGTCACACTTAGTGGGTTCCTTTGAGAACCTCACCTGTCCCCAGAATCCTAAGCAGGCACGTGCCTTCTCGTCCCAAACTGGTGTGTGTTGGGGTGCGGGGGTCACCTGCTCTTTCTTTACATTCTGCTGTCTCCGCCTCACTGACCACCTCTCCCCAGCCCACAGCGGCCTCTCCCCGGCTGGTTCCCTCCCCTAAAGCAGTCTCTTCCTGGAAATGCTTCCTGGGTATCTCCTCACTACTTGGGTAGCCTGCAGAAAGGTGAGCCCCCATCTTCAAGCCCACCCCATCCTGGCACTTGTGACACTCCCCCTTGTGGGGCTGAAGCGGCTCCAGCCCTGAGAATTGCCCTAATTGGAGGGAGGCATCAGTTTCCCTCCTCCAGGCTCACCTGGCCCGGCCCGCACAGCTCCCCCGAGCTGGCACTTCCCCTTGCATCGCTGTCAGTCAGCCATGCCCGCCTGCCTCGCCCAGCCGCCTGTCTGTCCAGCCTGAATATTGCACGCGGAGCAGAGGCAAGAATATATCCAAGATGGAGCAGGAAATTCAGACACAGTTGCCGACAGAGCGGCGGACCCGGGCCGGGGGTGGGGGAGGGTGGAGACGGGTACCAGAGGGTCAGACAGACAAGACTGAGCAAGAGCCTTCGCACCAGGCCCAGCAGGTGCCACATCCTCCTGCAGTGAAAGAGGCTCCAGCCAGGAGCCTGAGGAGGGTGAAGGACACCTACGTGCGCCCCCACTGTGGCTGCTGGAAGCCTCCGTGACCTTCAACCTCTTCGGCCTCCTCAGCCGGGACCTGACACGCGTGGCCAGCAGAGACCTGTGTGTCTGAGCTGAGACCGTCGCCCCTGTGCTGCCTCTGAGACATCATTTACGCCCCAACTGCCTTTCCTGGATTATTGCATACCAATAAGCCCCCCAAAGATGCTTCATCTTGTGCTTTTTGTACAGTGTGTGAAAATAAGCAACTGGGGACACT